GCGAACCGAAGCGCCCCCGTGCGGCTCCCCCCCGCCAACAATGCGGGGCCTAAACGCGAGAGCGGGGCCTACCCCAGGGATCCCGTCTCGCCGAGGCGGGCCTGTTCCCGGAGCCCCGCACCGCACCATCGCCCCCTGCGAAGTCGCCCACCCCCTCGCGTCCGAATCCCGCGGGCCACCCTCGTACCTGAGCCGGGCCAGGCGGGGCCTCACTGGAGCCATTTCAAACCCATCGAGCTCACACACATACGCCGCTTCCCACTGCGCATGCCTCCCACGGGACTGAGCGGAAAGGGGCCGCCGCGCACACTGTTGACGTTAAATTAAAACGTGCACCTCCCCCTCCGCACGTGCTCCGCAACCATCTCCGGCGCCACAGAAAGGAAGGCGTCGCTACTGCGCGCGCGCGCCACGAGGTGACCTCCGAGCGGGCTCCTACCCGGGAGTGGAAGGCGCAGGCCCTGGGTTCGGATGAGCCTTTGCGCCGCCATGTTGCTTCGGGGCGTATGGCTCAAACGTAGACGCTTCCGCCATCTTGTTGTCGGGCAGAGGCGCAAAGCGTGTCCCGGCTAACTGGCCGGTTCGGCCAAGCAAAGCGAATTAGGCCCATCTCGCTTTCGTGTGGAACCGGCAGGATCTCCCCGCCCTCCAGCTGTGCTGAATTGTTGGCACACGTACGATGCCTCCTACGTGTGCACCCCTCCCACAAGGCTTGTGTACGCAGACCCCCGGCTCGAGCAAAGGGCGCAGACTCGGTATTTCCATGGCTCGTGTCAGCGCTTTTACTCACCCTGTACATTGTTTCAAAGGTACCAGAGATGAGGCTCCACGTCTGTGTGGCACTTGGCGCTGAGGAGTATTTCATAGAATACTAGGATTGGAAGGGACCTTGAGGGATCATCGAGTCCAGTCCCCTGCCCTCGTGGCAGGACCCAGTACTGTCTAGCCCATCCCTGATAGACATTTATCTAACCTGCTCTTAAATATCCCCAGAGATGGAGATTCCACAACCTCCCTGGGCAACTTATTCCAGTGTTTGACCACCCTGACAGGAACTTTTTCCTAATGTCCAACCTAAACCTCCCTTGCTGCAGTTTGAGCCCATTGCTTCTTATCCTATCCTAAGAGGCCAAGGAGAAGAGTTTGTTTCCTTCCTCTTTGTGACACCCTTTTAGATTCTTGAAAACCATTATCATGTCCCCTCTTACTCTTCTTCTTTCCAAACTAAGCAAACCCAATTCTTTCAGTCTTCCCTCGTAGGTCAAGTTTTCTAGAACTTTAATCATTTTTGTTGCTCTTCTCTGGCTGTTTTCCAATTTCTCCACACCTTTCTTGAAATGTGGTGCCCAGAACTGGACACAATACTCCAACTGAGGCCTAATCAGCAGAGTAAAGCAGAAGAATGACTTCTCATATCTTGCTCACAACACTCCTGTTAATGCATCCCAGATTCATGTTTGCTTTTTTTGCAACAGCATCACACTGTTGACTCATATTCAGCTTGTGGTCCACTATGACCCCTAGATCCCTTTCTGCAGGACTCCTTCCTAGGCAGTCATTTCCCATTCTGTATGTGTGAAACTGATTGTTCCTTCCTAAGTGGAGTACTTTGCATGTGTCCTTGTTAAACTTCATCCTGTTTACCTCAGACCATTTCTTCAGTTTCTTGAGATCATTTTGAATTATGACCCTATCCTCCAAAGCAGTTGCAGCCCCTCCCAGTTCAGTATCATCTGAAAACTTAATAAGTGTACTCACTATGCCAATATCTAAATTGTTAATGAAGATATTAAATAAAACCGGTCCCAAAACAAACCCCTGTGGAGCCCCACTTGTTATGCCCTTCCAGAAGGATTGTGAACCATTAATAACTACTCTCTGAAAATGGTCATCCAACCAGATATGCACCCACCTTATCATAGCGCCATCTAAGTCGTATTTGTCTAATTTATTGATAAGATCATGCGATACCATATCAAATGCCTTATTAAAGTCTAGGTATACCATGTCCACCACTTCTCCCTTATCCACGAGCCTCATTAGCCTATCAAATAAAGCTATCAGATTGGTTTGACATGATTTGTTCTTTACAAATGCATGCAGGCTGTTACTTATCACCTTATTATCTTCCAGGGGTTTGCAGATGAATTCCTTAATTACTTGCTCCATTATCTTTCCTGGCACAGAAGTTAAACTGACTGGACTATAGTTTTCTGGATTGTTCTCATTTTCCTTTTTATAGATGGGCACTAAATATGCCCTTTTCCAGTCTTCTGGAATCTCTCCTGTGTTCCATGATTTTTCAAAGATGATAGGTAAAGGCTCAGATACCTCCTCTATCAGCTCCTTGAGTATTCTAGGATGCATTTCATCAGGCCCTGCTGACTTGCAGACATCTAACTTTTCTAAGTGATTTTTAACTTGTTCTTTTTTTATTTTATCTTCTATACCAGTGATCTCCAACTTTTTTACACCCAAGATCACTTTTTAAATGACAGAACAAGCCAAGATCTACCGCCCCGCCCCTTCCTTGAAGCCCCGCCCTCTCTGTTCTCCTCCTCTCCATCACTTGCTATCCCCAATCCTTGTACCGCTGCTTTTTTGTTGTTGTTGTTCCCCAATTCTTCTGTAGGAAGAAGTTTTTCCATCATTTGGCCTGTCTAGACATGACCAAATGTCAGAAAACCCCTTCTTTTGGAAGCCCCCTTATTCCTCGTGGAAAGAGGATTATAGGGGTGACCGAAAGATCATGTTTGCTCTTCCACTAAAAGAAGTGGAAGAACAAATGCATCCCTGAATGCAGAAGAGTTTTTCTGGGGTATCTCCGGAATCCTGAAAAACTCCTGCAGTCTAGACGTACCCTCGCTGGGTTGAGACAGGATGTGTAGGCTCCGGGGTGGGAATGAGGAATTTGGGTGTGGGAAGGGGTGAGAGGTGCAAGCTTTGGGAGAAAATCTGGATGCAGAAGGAAGTGGATAAGGGAACGCTGGCTTGGGGAGGGAGTTCCAGGCTGGGCAGTGTTGGGGTCAGATGTAGGGTTAGGGTACTAAGTAAGCCACAGACTTCTGGATGTGAGGGTTCAGGAATTTGGGTTGGGATATGTGAGGGGCTCAGGGCAGGAGGTTCCAGTGTATGATAGGCAGAGATCTAGGGTCTGGGGGAAAATGGAGTGCAGGAGTGTCATGATGCTTTGGCCAGATGGGGGCTTGGCCCAAATTGGGTGTTTGTTGGCCAGGCTTCATTTTCAAATAAAATACTACGTCAAACACAAAAAGTTTCTGCATTGTCTTTATTTCTGAGAAGAGCAGAGATCCTGTTTGGACAGGGTGCCAGCTGGGGAGAGGGAACAGGGGGCTGGGGAGAAGGAGGAGGGGGCGTGGGGGCAGAGAGTCCTCTGCTATTGCCTCCTCCCAGGATTCTCCCCCCTACTTCCTCCAAGGGAAGTCGGCGCGTGCCTCCCACAGCTCAGCCAAACCCCTGCATGCGCCTGCCCCGGGGCCAAACCCCCTCTCCCGCAGCGTGGCGAACCCCCTCCTCCCACAGCGGGGCCA